ACACTGCCAGGCAAAGAGAGAACAGAAGGCTGGCACTGAATGGCAAGTCAGCAACCCCAACCCAGCAGAGGGCTCAAGAGCAAGAACTCCCCTGGCAAATGAAGCTAGCCTTTGGCCCCACACTGCAGCTCATGGACTTCCCATAGGGACATACCAAGGTACTCCCTGCCTCTTGGATCCTTCAATACAGCCCCAGCAGGCTAGAGCCTTCTCTCCCCACTTCAGTGGGAGACTTTCTCCCTGCTCACTTGCCCCCCATCCAGGGTGTGACTCTAAAGGTGACCCACATCTGCTCTCTGCAGCAGAGGATGCTTTGTTTTCCCACCCAAAGCTGACCCCTGCTGGGTACCCAGGTGAGAGGGGGGGCCACTACAGATAGGGCCCACCCTAAGCCCCATCCCTTTGTAAGCAGGTGGTGCCCAGATGGGTTCATCAGTTCCATCCTTCAGACTAAAGCAACTGGTCAGCCCCTGCCCAGATCACACCCTGAGATCTGGGCTAAGAAGCAGAGGTGCAGCAGTGGGTGCTGCTTTACCTGGGCAATGCGGTGGTGCTGCAGGTTGATGACTCGAGACACTGCCATCTGGATGCTGCCAAAGACAGCAACCACCTCCAGCTTCTTGTCATCAAACGAGGGGGCCCCAAAGTTCTGCAGGGGAACAGCAAAGCCCATGGTTTCCACAAGCCCCTCAACTTTCTGTTACACAGACTACATCCATCTGTCTCCTCCCAATGCCAGATAGTTTAAAGCCAGAAGGGATCACTGGGGTCCACTCCTCTGGCCTCCTGCGCATCACAGGACATTACACTTTAGTCATCTCTGCACTAAGCCCAGTAACTTGGGTTAGGCTAAAGCCTTGAGTCCTCAGGTAACTGAACTGTCTTGTGCCACAGGCAAATGCAAAAGAGACCCAGATGGCACCAATGCCCAAGGCGCCTGCAATAGCAGAGAACCAATTAATGAGATAGTCCTGGATAAACCAAGCAGGCAATTCACAGCCCATGCTGCAGAGGCTGGTAAAAAATCCCCCAAGGTCCCTGCCAATTTGATGAGGGAGAAAATTCCTTCCCAACTCAAAATCTGGTGATCAGTTTGACACCAATCTAGCCTGTGAGTATTGGGTAGGCATCTGCAAAAAGGGACTTTTGGTGCATCAAAGCAGTGATTTATTACATCCTATGTACCATTCCCAGCTGTGGCCTGGCCAATCAGCTAATCACAGAATCTGTCTGGGCAATGCTTCAAAGGAAGGGGCAAAAAAAACCAAAACCAAAATGAACCAAACAAACAAAAAAAATTACATCTGGCTAACTGGACACTGGGAAAAAAATTCCTGACCCTGCAGGCAGCCAGCTGCAGCCTTGAAGAAAGACTGATTATAACTCCTGTCTCAAAGCAGTGCAGGAGCTGTCAGGCACTGCAGAGGGCAATACAGAGCTCCTTACCCCTTCCCATGGCACATGAAGGAAAGGGATGAAGAAGAGTGCACATAATTCCAGGCTCCAAGGCCAGAAAGGTGCAGCATGGTCATGCACTGGCAGAGTCAAGCACTGGATGCCAATCATAGAATCCTCGAGAAGCAGGACTGGAAGGGACTTCTGGAAGTTACCTAAGTCCAACCCCTGCCCGAGACAGGATCATCCCTATCCAAACCATCCTATATAAATCCATAGTCTAAACTCTTCATAAAGCTACCATCAACCCTGACACAACACAAGACACAATCCCCTAACCTGCCACAGGTAAAGCAGGGGAACTGTGGCAACCAGTCCTGCTTCTGTAAAAGGTTGTTAATATATGCTCAGGAGATTCCAGGTAGAGGGCCAAGTCCCCCACTACAGAGGAAGGCAAAAACCCCACAGTCTGTACCAATCTGCCCATTGGGTAAAATTCCTTCTGGACCCCAAGTATTCCTGCCTGACCTCAATGCCATGACCACCAGCCCTTTGCTATTCCCAGCAGACTGCACTGCCTCCAAGTGACAGACTTTCCCCTCCCTGCCTCACAGCCCCTCAAAGTTGTCTGCAGTGACAGCTGGCAGGAGCAGTGAGCCAAACTGGATGACACTTCCAGTCTGACTGGACCTGACAGGAGATAGCCCCTGGTCTTACTAGGGCTAGTGGAAGACCACAACAAGAAGGACCCATGCATTGATGTTTGGCCCCTAAATGACGAGGGGCCTCCTGCTTCAACTCCTTCAAACTCTTTAACATTTAGAGATAGAAACAGCACCGACAGCCAAAGGCCTTCACAACCCTAGACCCTGCCCCAAACTCACATTATCCTCCTTGGTGCCTCCCCAGAAGTTGATGCCACCTGCATAGCTGGGGATATTGAGCACTGCAATCCCCTGCAAGCTGGGCAACGAGATGGACACGCCGTCACACTGCAAGACAAGAGCAGGCAGCAGAGCTCTTCAGAGTGTTTGGGGACACCACTTGCCACAACTTGTCCAAAGACCCAAGCTGTGGGTCTTGGAGGCAGCAGGTGTCAGAGTACCATTCAGTCAAGCAGCAGAGGCAGGACTGCTCTGGAAGGTGGGAAGCTGCCAGGCCAACTGCTTTCCTTCCTCCCACTGGGAGAAAAGGATTTCCACCTAAGATAAACCCTCCCACTAGGCAATCAGAATGGGAGGAACCGTATGAAGTGAGGCTCTTTCCAAATACAAGGGGAAAGGCTAATAGACTCCAGTTAGGACTAAGGACCGAGAGAACACAGAATGAGTCCTAGTGCTCATATAAAGGGCCTTTTGGCACCTTTTATTGCCATCACTGAAGTGAAGTGAGCAGTGTGCAACTGTAGCTGATTCCATGAGCCATGAATGGTTCCCCAACCCAACATTCAGTGCCCCACAAAGGGAACGCCAGTTTATCCAGCACTCCACACACACTGTCTCATACAGTTCACCTATGTTCCCAAAGTCCCCCAGCCCTTTGGTCAATGTCTCCTCTGATTACCTCCAGCTGGACTCGCTGCTCCAGGTTCTTATAAGTCCTCTGCAGAAGTTCCTTGGTTCCCAGCACTCCATACCACATCATGTTCTTGGTGCGACTGCTGTATGGGAAGCAAATAGTGGAGAGTCAGTGCTGGCAATCAAGACAGGATCTGTCTGAGGCCCCCCCCCCCCCC